CTAAGTTACCCACTCCAACATGCACTCGGGAGAAGAAACGGAATCAAAAGCTTGAAACTTCGCTCAAAACAATGTTGCCGGAAGTTCGCCGGAAAACTTGATTCATAAAGCACCAAACCATAAAAAGGGAAAATAGAATATAGAGAGGAATTCCCAACTTAAAAGTTGGGAAAATGAGAGTTGTCTCCACAAATACAAAGCATAATGTCTTTATATAGCTACACCACAAACACACACTAAAACACACACACATTTAAAAATTCAGCACTCGCTAGGTAGCGAACTAGTTCGCTAGGCGAACTAGTTCGCTAGGCGAACTGGTCTTGTAGTTGTGCACACTCGCTAGGCGGCGAACTCATTCGCTATGCGGACTGGCCCTATGAGTCTTGTGAACACTCGCTATGCGGCGAATACCTTCGCTAGGCGAACTAGACTTTCGGCACGGTAATGACTCGATAACGGCTCGGGCGACTCGGGCGACTCGATCGGCTGGACGGCACATGACGAAATGACTATTTCTTCCTTCCGGCCCTACAAAACACCAAAACAAAAGAGAAACGCGCAAAAAATACGAAAACACTATACAATAATAAAAATACACAAAACACGATAAAATGGACCGGTCGACACTAAAACGAGCCTAAAAACTATAAAATAAAGCACACAAAACACACGAAAATAAGCACAAAAACACAATAAATACATTTACAGGGCAAGTCTCGTCTGCCGGAGGTTGTACTACCACACGATCCGCTCCGAAGAATTCGTAAACCTCCACCTCCGGCAGCAAAATGACGAATACGGCTTATTATTCAAATTCATTAATGTTGATCAACATTCCTCCCAACGCAAGGTTTTTGTGTCTATGAAACAGGGACGTGTGACAATATCCGATTACTACTGCACTTACATATCCAGGTTCAACAGTGGTAGCTGCAACGGCCTCATCCCGGAGTACAATTGTCGGGAACCCTCGTCTGGCATCCTCGTGGTCAACCCCGTCACGGGACGAGCCTTCCGACTCCCTCCGCTCCCCGCAAACGCAGACTATATGCATTGTTGTGTGGGTTACGCTGAGGCCTCCAAGGCTTACAAGGTGGTCGTGGCATACTCTGATGGGGGAATTAAACCTCATGTGAGGCGGGCCATATTGACCGTGGGTGTCGACAAGTCATGGAGGCATCTTGCAACCGACCATTTGACAATGTGTAACCTCATCGGCGAACCGCTGGTCACGGAAGGTTTTACTCATTCGATTTTTGGGGACGCTGTCCTGACGCTGAATGTGGAGATAGAGGTTATGACCAAGACGCTGACCCCAGTCCCGGATCCTCCCCAAATGTGCTGGTGGTTCCTGTCAACGGGGAAGTCCCTCACTGCATTGGTTGAAGTTGATGATTGCGGGTTTCGAGTTTGGGAGATGTTGTCTGGGGATTATGATTATTATTGGAGGGAATGGGAACGTCAGATTGTGGTGGGAAGTCAGAGGATAAGGGAAATTCGAGAGCTTTGCGGGGATAAAGATTTGATTTATATTTCTCCGATTGGCTGGTTGCAGCACATGGAGGTGTTGGTGTTTGAAGGATGGTCCAAAAACAAGGTTGTCTACGTTTTCTACATGGTTATTGCTACTGGGGAAATAGGATGGATTGCCCCCGTATCATCAAGTGAGGAGAAAGGGGAATCTTATACAAGTATTGGTCCATTTTTACCTCACAAGAACACCCTTGTGCAGTTGGAGGGTTACTATTAAACCCATTTACTGTCTAACAATCATGTTCATTTCTTGTTTATCTTGGTAGGATGGGATTTTTTTACTGTCTAAAAAAAATTAAGCTGATGGGTCTTTTGTTTTATTTATTCTCTCCACACATACATACAATGGTGTTTGATTAGTTAATTGACATGAACTACCCTTGTACATGTTTGGAAGAATTTTAGATATTGATGATTGGTCATGGTATATTCTTGATTATTGTGCATTAATCATACATATAATCATAGGGCATATTTGTATGTTTTACTGCTGCTGAATATGCTGATTTTTATGAATGAATAAAAAGATAAAGGTTTTGGAATATTCAATTTCTAAATTTTAATTTTTTATTTGTCTGTATGAATCATTTTCGACAAACTGGCAGTTTCATATGCACAATAATTATTTTTATGCATTAATCCATGCTCTAAAATAATTGGCAGTTTCATATGCACAATAATACTGAATGACTTATCTCAAATTTATGAGGCTCTTCCTCTAGCGCCAAAACGTTGTTGTGTGGAACTAACAACGATCATTAATCTGTAAAACGCGTGATAAATAAAATGATTGTAACATTGTTTGAAAATTGAGTGATACAAGATGTCGGTTGCGTGTACAATCCGAGGTGTATTTGAACAAATATCTTCTATCAGCAGGGCTATATATAGACCAGTGTAGGCCTAGGCCCACACTGAAAAAATAAAAAATATTATGAATTAAGTACAACTATAACTCAAAAAATAACTTTACATCCCATTAGAAAATAAAAATTACAAATTAAGAACAATATTTGCATGAACACATTAAAAAAAATAATAAAAATAATGAAATGAAAAGAGAGAAATAATGGTGAAAAAAATCCTTTTTTTAGCAATTTTGATGAAATTGATTTTAACCTTTTTTTTATTAAACTTGTAAGAAAATTTACACACTTATTGTACTTTTTAGCACTCTTCTGGTTAATTGATTGTTGCTTCTTAATTATTTAAAAAAATATCATCTACTATAATTTGTGTGTGGTTAATCACTTAAATTGTAGGCTCTTAAAAGTTTTATATATTAGTCAATCATTTTATACATTATGGTTTTTTTAAATATTATAAATTATTTAATTTTACATTAATTATAGAGAAATATTTTTGAAATATGTCTGGGAAAGAAAAATTCACATTAAATATTTTAAAATGAGATACTTTAATTCCAAATATACTTGAGGCGAATTCTAATGTTGTTAGACTTTGTCCAAAAGAAAGTGCGATACAAAAATTCAACGATGTTATTATAGGACGATGTTGAGTTATATATGAAAACTCATAACTATATGATAAATGTGTGTTTTGTACTTATACCTTTATTATAGTATATTTTTTTTTTCCTAATAACGATTAGGCCCCCACTAATTCTATTTGTTAGATTCGCCCATGCTTCTATGTGGATTGTTTAGAAATAAAAGAAAAAATCTCTCTCTTCCCACAATTAATTTTGCTATTTATAGCGCGACTGATCCATTGTACTAGGTAGGTGTGATTGCATTTAATGTAAAGTAACTTTTAGAGGCGATTGTCTGACAGTTGGCCAACAGTAATGATGACTTTGCATAAGCTCTCTGGATTCTAATGGGCTTTCTTCCCCGATATGCCCTTTCTGGAGGCCTCATCTATGCTTACCTGATGCTATGGAGGACCCCATTCTTATTTTGGCTCTAATACATGCCGCTACTGCAGTAGCGACGGGAATTTTTCTTGTAGCTCGCCTTCTTCCTCTTTTCATAATTATACCCTTTAAGTTAAAAAATATTGAATATAAACAATGCTGCTCGCTTTTATTCCGGTGGATCAATGGGTTGCCGCACCGGCCTCAGATCTCGACTATAAGTGGCGCCACTTTATTATGTACTGAAAATTAACCTTCTCGGACCTTGGTTTATGAGACTTCAGCTGTAGGGACGACCTCGATTTAATCTGAAAGTGACGTCGGTTATTTCTTTGCTGATTCCGTGGTACGAACACTTGGATATCTCAAGCCGCCATTATGTCTGAGTTAGTAACTTTGTGACCTTATTATCCTTGTCAATACTAGTATTCCACAATGTGCATTTGCAGAGATTAAGTAAGTATTATAAGTTATATATTTGTATGCATGTAATATTAAAATTACAAGTTATATAATGATATTATATTTTAAACATAGAGTATTGTAAGTCATATTAATGCATATAACATTAAAATTATAAGTTTGATAATGGTATTATGTTTAAAATATAATCATTGATTAAAATAAATAGTATATAACAATTTGATTGCATGTGAATCACTATATTGGTTACATAAATGTCATAAATAATGTAATTTTAATTGTAGGGAACATGAACAAAGAAGTAGCTGAAAAATATTAAATTCATAATAACAATTGCTTATACGATTTTAAGAAATTTTAATAAGACAATAATACAAATTAATTTTAAAAACAATTTATTAATCAGATAAAAAAATATAATATTGACTTAAAAATAAATAACTTGAACAAAAAAGTTTTACAATATATTATTTTTATGTTTATATAACTTTCATATATCATTTAGTGTAAAATATAATTATTAACTTTAATAATAAATACAATATTAATGGGATACGTTGATGATGATGATGATGATAATAATAATAATAATAATAATAATAATAATAATAATAATAATAATAATAATAATAATAATAATAATAATAATAATAATAATAATAATAATAATAATAATGGATTATAACGGTTTTGGAGTATGGAAAGTTTGTCATGTAAGTATTATTTAATAGGTAAAATTTAATAATTTATGAGTTAAAATTTATCAGGTGAAATTGAATGTTATGCTAGCAATTATATATAAGTATTTGATATATATATATATATATATATATATATAATTGCTGGCAGGTGCATTATATAAAATCTATTTAATTATACCTACGTGGCAATTTTACATTTTCCTTAAAAAAACTGTTACTTTTGATTTATTTAACTTTTCATTTAATTATTAGATAATCAACACACTAATCACTTCATAATTACAAAAATCATTTTAAACGTTTGATTACTGACAATTTATCATTTAAAGTGTTGACCGTATAATGTGATTAGATGTTATTATTGTTGTTTAAAATTGATTTTTTCGGAAAATAAAAAAAACGTACTTGAAATTCCTAAATAAATAATAAATTATTCACAAAAAAAAATGCGTACCAAAATATACATTACATTCAATCTAATAAAAGCAATTTAAAATATATATATATATATATATATATATATATATTTTTCAATTCTTTTAATTGTAAATTTAGCCTGCAAAATGTGAAAAAAAAAATCATTAATCATTATATGCATACAAATAACTCACAATACTTTATTTACCTCTGTGCAAACACAGAAAAGAGTCGAATACTAGTCTAAATAAATATGAATAATAAATAAAAATAAAATTTAATAATTTATTTGAAATTTATTTTTAAAATGATTTCATTTAATATAAATTAATCTTGATCTATGGTATAAATTATATATTTATTTTTTATTGTTTTTTGTTAAATTTGTAGTAAAAAACATGAATCCTAAAGATATGAAATGAGAAAGTCGTGCATTAACCATAAAATGTCCTATGGAAATTTTTATGCAATTTCCGTGTGATTAAGAATGATTAATAGAATGATTATTCCATCTAGTGTCATTTCATCGTACCAGTCATATCATTAGTGTATTATGAAACATATTCTTAATATAAATTGAGCATCTAAATACTCGCGGTACTAATCAGATGAGCAATATAAAAAATAGGCAAAATTGCACCTCACATCACGACCTTTTCGACTTTTGCGTTTCTGTCACCACTTTGCGACCTTGGCAATTCGATACCCAACCTTTCGGTATTTTGCAAGACCAAGCATTGACCACATTACCGGCCGACCAATGCCAACCTGTCCGGCCATTTAATCCAACATGGCTCTGATGTTGACGACGTGGCTGAGGCAACATGTTATGCAGCAAAACGACGTCGTTTCTTTGATCCAACTATTATAAAACCGAAACATCCCCAAACTCAAATCACAAATCCCTAAATTGTTCCTTAACGACTTGCGACCCTATCTTCGACAAGAAATTGTTCCTTCAGCTGCAAAGAATCAACTTCGGATTTACAGAGAAATTAAGGTTCGTAAAAGGATTTCGAATTTGCAGAGGAAAAATTGGGACTATCGATTTTCATTTGAAGGGTTTTTTGGTTGAATTGGGTGTCGATTTTCATTTGAAGGGTGTTGAATTGGGTGTCGATTAGGTTTTCATTTGAAGGGTTCTGCTGTTGGAT